TATAATTCACTGGGTTGAATTTCCTGCCCCTCCTTTTTCTAAATGTTAAGTGCAGTATCTTGGAAGAACATGCTGCTTCCCCCTGCTTGTGTATTTAAGATATAGTCTCTTCCCTGATCATCAAATCCTGACAGTTGCCATTATTCAAAATGTGTGATTGAGAAGTGACAGCACTGAAATCTAAAAGAAGAGATACTTAGGAATTCCTTAGTATGAGAAAAGAAATTTCTATGGTATCGTGTAATCATTTTACTATAAAATACTGTAGAACAGCAGTATTGTTTCTGAAGAAAGTTATACTAAGATCTATTCTTGCAGATTTCAATATGTAGCAAAGACAGGGAGCATGATGTCCATGGACACCCAGATGCCCAGAGATTATCTGTCTTGCTGCATGCTAGGCTCAACAACCCATGTGTTCCTTTTCATTTTTTCAGTTTTTTATGTAAGTGGAAAATTGTCATGCTGCAAAACAAATTCCAGCCTCTAATGTCATCCTTATTTATATTGTAAATACCATATGGGGATTATAATTCTAGGCATACTTGGGGAAAAAATAAACACTGTAGCATGAATCGTGGAGTAGGGATTTGCTACACTATGCCATTCGGTTCAGAAGAAAGACTTCAAATTCCCATTATAATTAACTGAGGTTACAGAGTGCAGCTTAATCTCTGTAATTCTTTGAAGCAGGATTTATTCAGCTAAAGGGCATGGATAGGTGCTCTATTTTAACATGGAGTTCTGAACACTCTATTAGAGAAAACAATATTTTAAAAAATCCTTCTGCGCTTACCTACAATATCTTTAATCAGTTGCTGAGTGGCAGTCATACAAGCTTGAGGGATTTCCAGTTTCTCACACTCATGATCTGACTGATGACGGTGCCTGGAAATAATAGACTGCCAAATATTCAGTAGGTACTTTACAGATCAATAGGATAAGATTTGTTTAAATCATTGTCTTTGCTCACCTTAAGCAAAACTGTTTTTCACAGTAAGCACATAAGACGGGTACAAGTTCTCTTCCATCACAACCTTTATATGTGCATGAAAATGATTTGTGATAATCCAGTTTCATATTTTTGTTTTTTAGATTTGCCTAAGTGAATTTTTAAAAAAATACAATGTAAATTCTTATTTCAAAGATCAAATTATACATTGAGATGATTAAAGTTCATAGTTTAAACTAAATGTACACTATTTAAACTACTTGGTGGCAAAAACCTGAGAGGAAGTAGCTAGTTCAAAGTAGGTATAATGCCAAACTATAGCAGTTAATCCTTTGCTTAAATGCTCCTTCTTTTCCTGTGAACTCCTGGATATATGAGTCAACAAAATAATTTGCATACTTGTCCTACAAACCTGGAGTACAACTTAACTTAATAGCTCTTTGCAGCATAGACACAAGCCATAAATAGACTGCATAGCAAAAATAGATCTCTTGCAAACCATATTTTGCAAACCCTGGTGGCACAGTCATTTGAATGCAGTACTGCAAACGCACTCTGCCACAGTCTGAAGTTCGATCCAGATGGGGTTCAAGATTAACTCAGCCTTCCATCATTCCAAGGTTAGTAAAAGGAGGACCTAGATTATTGGGGGCAATATGCTGACTCTGTAAACCATTCAGAAAGTGCTATAAAGCACTATGGATTGATATATAAGCCTGCTATTGCTATTTGCTTGAAGTCTTTGGTTTAACCGTCTTACGTTTTGGAGCAGTTCCCTCAGTCAGGCAATTGGTCTCCCTATGATGCTCTGTCTACCCAAATTGCTAGTCAGAACTCCCTCAATTGGTGAACAGCAAAGTATAATAGGAATAAAGGTAGCCAGCTAATAGTCTACCCCCAACCTATTCGTTCTTACCCAAAGATAGGATTAGCCACAGAGCAGCAGAAAAATATTTTGAGGCTTAGCTGAAAACTCTTTTCAATTGCAATGAAAGAAAAGATTTCAAGCTGTGTTCACAAACTGCCTAATTCACAATAATGTGCTCACCTGGTCAGCCCTTCTAAACTATGTAACCTAAAAGAGCTTTTTTTGCAGGCATAATTTGGGAATAAGACAACCTGGATAAAGTTTTGCTTGTAAAAATATTCCAAACAAATGTAAAGAATATGAATGTTTCTTATTAGGTAAAATATTCATAAATGTAACTTGCAACAAATTATGAATTATTAACTTACCTCAGAACAACTATGAGCAGATCGACTTCTGTGTTGAATACTTAAAAATAGTTTTACAGAAACAAAAAAATATGCCATCAATATGTGTAATATAGGATTTTATGAGAGTTTCTTAGTCTTTCTTAAACTCAGCTTAAAATGAAATACCATGTAATATTTATTCTTTCTTTCCTTATTTCCATATTATTTTCTCTAGCCTTCTTTAAAACCCTGTCCCAAATCTCTAAAAATAGTCTATTGCTAGACTATACTTAATAATTAATAATATAATTACCAGAAAACTCCTGAGCAGCCATCACAGACAAAAGGGAGGAAATCTAATATAAAAGAAATATCTTAATTATATTCATACTTTGATAGGTATAATTATTATACTAATAAGATATATTTTGGAAGATCTACTCCATTTGAACACATTACTGGCCAATTTATATGCTAAATAGAATAAACCTGCAGAATTAATTAGGTATGTTTTAATTTGTTGGATTTAAAGAGGTTTCAGTCATAAATTCTGAGCAGTATACATATATTTGTAAATCAGGTTGAAAACATTCCAGTAATAAAACAAAAAATGTCATAGAATAGAGTGACATGTATGCTATCGTTATAGAAATACAATTTACTAATTTAACTGCATTGGATTGTGCCTTTTTTAAAAGAGCTTTCAAATAAGAAAAAAGGTAATTAATGTTTCTGTCTTGAATTGTTTAGTAAGAGTCATGGTAAAAAAAATTCTCTGATTTTTTGTTTCACAATTTTATCTTTTTCAGTTACAGGAATATAATAATTCAGTAGCTGTATAGTCCCTGTGTTAAATTCTCACAGGGTTATAGTTGTTGTGGGGAGTGTTGTATAGTTTTCTTGAAGGACATGAGGGTTATGCATCTAATAAGACACCGAGAAAATTTTCAATAATATAAAAGTGCATATTGAAACAAAGTAACAGTTTAAAATAATACTAAAGAACAATACATTATGATAAACATAAACTATGTGTGGAACATTTTGTAGAAAGGCAGGATTACAACGTCAAATATATAAATGGGAATAAAACTCTTCTCTCATTGTCCAATTTTCTTAAAACCTCTGGCCCACAAGTGCTTTGTTTTTGAATGACTTTGGGATGATTTTCAGTAGATCAGAGTAATAGCTAGCAATAGTTAGAAAAAATAGATTTCTCGTATCACCTAAATTAAGCTAAAGATGGAAGCAAAGTGGGATTTTAATGGTAGACCTGTGAGTACATCTCTGTTTAAAAGGTCTCCTTTCAGTGTACTAAAGATAGGCAGAGTTCACTTTCTTCCTTAATGCTACATTTTACCCACATATCAATTCTTCGTTCTTAAGAACTTTTTAAAACATTAAGCATAAATGACATCAAATCATACAATGTATGGTCACTCCTGTAAGTTTTTTTAAAAAAAGGAAATCTGCTTTTCACTACATTCATAACCACAAACGCCCTTCAGCTACATTTAACCAGTAGGCAGGCAGGCAGGCATAGAAAGAGCTTCAGCATTCACCCTCGTCTTTTCGCTCTTGCCTGCACCCTGGTTTGCGCTCGAATAGCGCTCGTGGGAAAAGTAGAAGCACCAAGCCAAGTGCGGGAATCGTTAGATGCTGAAATTCCCACGGTGACAGCCAGCCAACTCAAGAGCACAAATGTTTCGCGGTAAAAGTTGCGAGCCCTCCAAATACTTATTTGGGTCAGACCCCGGCCGATCACTCTTTTCCTCTAGAGTCTCCTAACCTGAACCTCCCATCTAGAACGCTCTTACCGAGCTGTTTACACTCTTCAACCCCGCAATGCTGCCCGATTTCCAATTCCGCCATGTTTTCCAACAGCGCATGTGCAGGCCGCCACTTTCTTCCGGGAACACTGAGGTCTTTATTTCCCCTCCCCCCCTTTCCTTTTCCCTGTTGCTTGAAACCTAATGGGAGGCGGGCTCGCCTCGACGTCAACAGAGGGGTGGAGCTTGTGCGGTGACTCATGAATAATCCATGTAGTTATCAAGCAACAACTGCGAACTGATTTTATGTTTCCTTCTGGAGATTTTTCGGTTTCCCATTTTAGACTTCAGTTTAGGATTTCTTAGAAGTCTCTCATTCACTTCTGACAAACTATGAAATGAACTTGTGATTCAACAAAAATCCATTGTCCTACGGATTGTTTCTATTATGTGAGCTAAAAATAAAAAATAAAATTCAATGGACATTTAAAATCATTTAGGAAAAGTGCATAGGTTTTTGTTTTTCCTGTTAATAAACAGATAACTGAGGTTGATCACAATTTAATATGAGTCAGCAGCAAATCCTGGCTGCCTTGACAAAATGTAGTTTGTAAAAAGTGAGAAGAATTCCACTATATTATGTACTAGTCAACCTTCAGCTGAACACAATACTGCATTCAGTGAAGAAAGTTATACCCATCATAAATCTTTAACTTTTCAGTTAGTATTTCACTGAAGCCTGACGCTGAATGCTTTAGCCTCTTTTATCCCAATGGTAATCAAGTTTTATTTTTAGTTACAATGTGCGTTCGACTTTTACCCCATGTTCAATGTTTCAAAGTAAAAATGCAACAATAATAAATGGAGTTTGAAACAGGAATGCAATTTCTGTGAATTAACAGCAAACTCTCTAAATATTGCTTAACTCTGGAATAACGTGCTTCTGCAGCTATACCGAAAATACATGACTATTTATCCAAACTTCAGGAACGGGAGTTTTGTTACAGCTCGGGACGGCATGTTCCGGCGGGAGGGGGGGAGCAAGTCCAGATTTTCCACGTCACACATCCACCATTTCTCCTTTTTACTGGGCGCGCGGCTTCCTTCCCAAGCGAGCAATTTAGGGTTTCAGCGGTTGCGGATGCCATTCGAGAGACACAACCCCCGCTCGCAGAACCTGTAGCAGGTGCGCGTGGGTCACGTGACTCTGCCGTCTGTCTTGGGAGCCGCGCCAGCTTCCTTCCTTTTAGGCGTTTCTCCGCTTGCGTGACCGGACTGGATTAGGGAATGCGGATAGAGTTGGCCGTCGCTCGTTAGTTCTCGGGAAAAACAAAACAGAAAACCCCGAAGGAGTCGGGGGTGTTCAGGCCGACTTTCCTTCAGACGCTGGCGATTCGGCGGACCGAAGATGAGCAAGATCCAGAAGTTTTTCAAGGGCGGCGGGGGCTCTGGCTACTCCAAGGGGAAAGGCAAAGGCGGGCCCACACCGCAGGAGGCTTTAGCGCGGTTGCGGGAGACGGAAGAAATGCTGACCAAGAAGCAGGAATACCTGGAAGCCCGGGTCGCCAAGGAACTGGCCCTGGCTAAGAAACACGGCACCCGAGACAAGCGAGGTGGGTTATCTCGAGAAGCAGGCCTGAATCTGAAGTCAAGGTGATAAGAGTACATCGCTGAGATGTTGAGGCTTTCGGAAACGAGCCCTCCCCTCCCCCCCAGCGTGAGCAGAGTATAAAGCCTTGTCACACAATTAACCGTTTGAAGTCATGGTTTTAGGCAGTTGTCCACGACCTTAAAAAAGTATTGTTATTGTATTGGTTATGAGGAAAGGCAGAAAGTGACTTTGTATTGCAAAACCTTACATCGAGCACTGTTTCCTTAACCACGTGAGAGGCTTTTAACTTTTCTATTCGGTATAGTGATTTCTTTTTATACACGGTAGAAGTTGGAGGTTGGTCACTGTCTTTTTAAATTCTGGTACTTGCATTGCATTGCTTGTGCTTAATTTTAAAGTTTGACTGAACAAAGTTATAATTTGAGTGCTGGAGATTGTTGTTTGTGTGTCAGTGAGTTCTGATTTGGCCCTTGCTATATTTGAAGCTCAGCCTCCCTTTGACAATCATAATGTGTGGCTCTACCTAGGATGAAAATGCTTTCTTTCCTATGTAAAATGTTTTTTGTTTTCACATCCTATAAGAGAAATAAGCCTCAGTGAAATAAATTTAAACACTGAGCTTAATGATCTTATGTGCCCCTTTCTTACATTTAAGATATTCCATTGTTGTGCTTATTTTAAAGGTAATATCAGCCCTACATTTAAAGATTTTTGCCTTCAGATGGTTTCCTGTTTTTAAATGCTATCCTGAGGACTTTATTGCCAGAAATCCTTCTTGTACTCTTCCCTCATAAATTTATTTCCCAGAATAGAAACTTCCTTCCGCAAGACTTCACCAGCTTTCATCTGAGCTATTTTGAATCCTTCTGCCGGTATTTCTTTCCAGATTGCTGTGTATGTGAACTTAATACCTGCTAGAAAGTTTTGATTGTGGATGGTTCAATAAATAAGTTGACTTAAGCAATTACAGCAGCGGTTCTCAACCTGTGGGTCGCGACCCCATTTGGGGTCAAACGACCATTTCACGGGGGTCGCCAAACAAGGCTGTCCGCCATTTTTCCCCCTTTTCTTTAGCTGTGCTACTCCCTCTTATTCTATTGGCTTTTCAAAGCCAATAGAATAGACTCTATTCAAGAGACTCTATTCTATTGGCGTTCGAAAGCCAATAGAATCTATTGGCTTTCGAAAGCCAATAGAATAGGCTCTCTTTCAAAAGCCAATAGGAATTGCCCAGGCTGTCTCTGCTCTGTTGAGACCGCCAAAACCCAGTCTGCAAACGATGCTGCAAGGAAAGCTTCCTTCCCTGTTGAGCAACTACTAAAAGTAAGTAAAAGAGGGCCAGGGGTGGGAGGTGGGAGGCTGGCGAATGCAGGGAGGGTTGCTGGCGTGCTTGGGGCCCGGCGGGTGCCTTACCTGCCTGGGCTGGGCCAGCTGGTGGCCCAGCTGATGGTCGCCCTGCGCCGTCGCTGCCGTTTGCCATGGCCGCCCAGGAGTGCCTGGACCTGCCTGCCGCCGCCCCAAACGGGCGGTGGCCAAGGTAAGGCTAGCGGGGCAGCGGCGGGCGCAGGGAGGGTTGCTGCCGCGTGTGGGGCCCGGTGGGTGCCTTACCTGCCTGGGCTGGGCCAGCTGGTGGCCCAGCCGGTGGTCGCGCTGTCGCTGTCCTTTGCCAGCTAGGCCTTGGCTGGCACAGGGGCGGCACCACGCATGCGCGGCGCTCCCGGGCAGGGAAAGTCTTCGACTTACGACCAGTTGGGTAGTCCTCGACTTACGACTGGTTGGGTAGTCCTCGACTTACGACCGGTTGGGGTCGCGGCATTAAAAAGTTTGAGAACCACTGAATTACAGTAATAGAACTTTTCTCTCTGTATAATGGTATTCAGAATAATGCCTTGCTTTTTGAATAAAACTTTTAAGGTTATCTACTAAACTATTGTTTTGATCTTGGTTAGGGCATTGCTAATGTTGCCTTTGTTAAGAATCCTTATGTAAGGATAGTTGTGCCTTAACAAATCCAACTTACTGAATAGGACTTATTTTTAAATTGATTATATGTCATTGAGTTGTTTTTGACTCCTAGTGTCCACATAGATAAATTTTCAACTGACAAACTGTTCCTAGCCTGGCCTTTCAGGTATTCCAACATTCTTTCTAAATAACGTTTATTCATGGTATAAACAAAGTGGTTTTTAGGATTCAGGTGTGAAATTTTACATGCATGCTTAAAATGTCACTTGTGTGAGAAGTAAATAAATATATATTTATATAATTTAAATAAGCAAATTTATATAAAATATAGACGTAAATACATCATGACACCTCCCTTTTCTGTTTCAAATCACTGGAGTTAAATAATTCCAAGATAAGGCATATGTAGGAGTGAGGTATGTAGAAAAAAATCAAGATGGCAACTGCCATCACAAGATTGAATACCTGTGATGTACATGGATGAATGTAAAAAAGTGCACGTGTAACATAGAGAAAGGAGTAAGGCTTTATTTACATACCTGCCATACTGAATCAAATTTTTTGACCCCTGCCCCTTTTACCAATCTTTCAATCAGAATAGAGCTGGAAGGGACCTTGGAGGTCTTCTAGTCCAACCCCCTGCTCACACTGGAGATCCTATACCATTTCAGACAAATGGCTGTCTAATCTCTTTTTAAAATCCTCTAGTGATGAAGCATCCACAACTTCAGACCGCAAGCTGCTCCATTGGTTAATTGTTCCCACTGTTAGGAAGTTTCTCCTTAATTCCAGGCTGCTTCTCACCTTGATTAGTTTCTATCCATTGTTTCTTGTCCTCCCTTCTGGTGCTTTGGAAAATAAATTGACCCTTTCCTCCTTGTGACAGCCTCTCAAATACTGGAATACTGCTATCATATCCCTACTAGTCCTTCTTTTCTCTAGAGTGGCATACCCAATTCCTGCAACTGTTCTTCATATGTTTTAGTCTCCAGGCCTTTAATCATCTTAGTTGCTTTTCTTTGCACTTTTTCCAAAGTTTCAACCTCTTTTTTTGTAATGTGATGTGATGTGGTTTTCTTTGAAAGTAAAGAGTTGCAAAACCTAACATTTAAAAAAACTTGAAGACAATGTTGAAATTGGGGGAAAAGCACTGATTTAACACTGGTATGAATAAGGATGATGTTGGGCTGTCTCACTTGGGAGCTGACAACAGAGTCATTGGGGCAGGAAATAAAAAAATCATCAGGATATATTTGTATTGTGGTTAGGTGCAATCAGGGAAAAAACATGAAATAGATATGTTTTGAAATAAAGTCATTGTATTCTACATCGTGCTACTAAAGTCTAAAGGTGCAATATTGTCCCCAGGGCAATATGGGGCTGCTGCAGCAGTTGTAAGTGTGAAAACTGGTCATAAGTCATCACTTTTTTTCAGTGATGTTGACTTCAAACAGTCATTAAACAAATGGTTGTAAGCGTACAGTTTTTAATAAAAATTTGTTCAGCTTCTCATTAAAGTGGAATTAGTTTTTATTATAGTGAAGGTAGCTAATATACAGTTATATAAATTTAGAACACACTTCCTGAAACTATTTTTATTAGCTAGCTAGAATGGATCTGCAAGCACAGAAAAAGCAGCTGTAGAGTCAGTGGTGGGATTCAAATATGTGAACAACCGATTCTGTGTGTGGATGCTACTTCCAGAAGTCCATTCTGGGCCTGGGCAACAAAAAATTAGCTACCGGTTCTGCCAAAGTGGTGCGAACCAGCTGAATCCCACCACTGTGTAGAGTTCTAATTTTAGATTACATTTCATCCCAACTGAAAGCACAAACTATGTGACACCGTATGTTACAAAATGGTAGTCAATTTAGTTTTAAAATACAGGGTTGGTTGGTTTTTAACTATACACTGCCCAGAGTCACTTTGACAGTGAAATAGATGTATCTGGATTCAAGACTTCCCAGTTTCCTCCATTCCTTTTGAATCCTTTTTTTTTTTTGAGCTCTAAAACCTACTTCAACCATGATCATCAAAACCGAAAGGTTTCCTGCCATAAAAGATGAGAAATCCATGATAAAGCTATAGCAGTGTTTGTTTGTTTTTAAAGAAAGGTGGGAAAAGTGTGCAGAGCATTGTTTCTTTCAGACACCTTTACCAGCATTGGCCTTGTCAGCTGTTTGGGTAACAAAATAATGTATCTGTATCTGTGTTTTTTAGTTATCACCTTATGTTATGTCTGTATACATTTCTGTGTACGTATATACTGGAAAGCACTGGGTGCAATATATATATATATATAAACTTCACTGAGTCACATGATCTGGAGGGAAGAATGGGGAGGGCTTAGAATGATGCAGTGACCTTCTTTCTGAGTCACAGCCCACTTGTGTCTCCCATAGGAATTTATGGGGGGGAAATTTTCAGGATTATTTTATCTTTTTCCAAAGCCCTAGAGCTGTGTTTTACTGATTTTCTCTTCACACCAAATTTGGTTTCATTATGTTCAGTTCTAAATATATGATGCAGACAGAGTGCCAACCCCCTTTACATAACTTATTTCCAATATTTCACAGAGTTGGGGGGGGGAGGGCTAGACCATTTTTTGAACTTGTTGACTCTTTTTTTAAATTAATAAATACTACTTTACTAATAGTATGAACAACAACAACAACAAAACATCAGTCAATTGCAAAAGGCAGCTTTACTCAGAACAGCTTGCATGTTTGACATACTTTTAACAACATCAAACATCCACATCTCCTATTCCAGGTCTTTGGGAAGGACTCAATAGGTGGACAAAAATACCAAATCCAGTCTGAGCATCTGGGTGACTATGCAACAAACCATAATAATAATAATGGATAATCCCGTCAACCTTTGTGGATTGATATTGGCCACTTTGGAAAATCCTGTCCTAAATAATGGATAATATTATAACATCAAAGCACCTGAAAGCAGGAAAAGAAGCAATGAATGTGACTAATAAGGAAAGAACCAACCCTGAACTAAGGAGGAATTTCCTGACAGTGAGAA